AAGGGGAAGGGAAGGGAAGGGAAGGGAAGGAAGGAAGGAAGGAAGGGAGGGTCAACCTTGAGCCGGCGAGGCTCGAACTCCTGACTGTGGGCAGAGTTAGCCTGCAATACTGCATTCTAACCACTGGCAGGGAGGGAGGGAGGGAGGGAGGGAAGGAAGGAAGGAAGGAAGGGTCAACCTTGAGCCGGCGAGGCTCGAACTCCTGACTGTGGGCAGAGTTAGCCTGCAATACTGCATTCTAACCACTGGGAAGGAAGGAAGGAAGGGAAGAAAGATAGCAATAGCACTCAAGACTTATATACTGCTTCACAGGACTTTACAGCCCTCTTTAAGCAGTTTGCAAAGTCAGTATTTTGCCCCCAACAATTTGGGTCCTCATTTTATCGACCTCAGAAGGATGGAAGGTTGAGTCAACTTTGAGCTGGTCAGGATTGAACTTCTGGAGCGAGAGCAGTGAGTTAACCTGCTATACTGCATTCTAACCACCATGGCTCTTACTTTTCTCTCAGTCTTGAACATCTTTAACTGAAACTTGACTTTATTCTGTGAGAAAAGGATAGTTATCTGGTGTCAATTCTCTTATCTATCCCAAGAATTGATAACTATGACACAAATTTCAGGCATTATGTAAAATTTTGGGGCAAGAAGAACAGATGATTCCTGGGTTTTCCTCTCCACCAAAGAGTGTTTTCTTTTTTCTTACTCGTCCGCGATCCGGATTCTTTGCATTTGGGGATTTTGGACGTTCTACACTCCGCTGATTCTTCTTGATGGCCTTATTTTCATTTTGGTGACTACAACAAGTGGATGAACATCTTGGTGGTTCTACCAGATTGTGACACAATGGCCTTCTCTGTTTTTCAGGTGGTGATGTCAGTTGCTCAACTCTACTTCCATCTTGCCCCCAAGGCTGAAGTTGGAGTCATCGCTAAGGCCCTGGTGCGTCTCCTGAGAAGCCACAGGTCAGCGGATGCTTCCTTCCCACTTTCTACAACCCCAGAACCTCATTTTCCCTTTTTCTGATGTGTTCTTTTAACGAAGTGACCAAATCAGGACATTTCTGCCAGTTTCCAACAACTCTTGATTGCATCTTGTTTTGTCTCAATGTTTGGAACTTGGTGTCCCTTAGAAAGGGACAAAATATGGTATAAGGTGACTCTTTTCAATGTCCCAGGCATTCCCCACCTTCCACAAGGTACCATTCCATCCACTTTTTCCCTTTTTTCCATCTCCACTTCCCCCAAAGCGTACTATTTGTAGACGCTCAGTTTCTATCCGTTATAGCCATCAGTTTAATAAGTTTTTCCCAAGCTAGTACTACAGTACGCAGGTATTCCAACTCCTATCTGCTGGTTAGAAATGGGAGTTGTGATTCCATCACTTTTGGACAGTGATGGGATGCTGTCGGTTTAACAACCGGTTCAGTGGTCGCGCGCTTTGCGCACATGCACAGCTTTCAACAATACTTACCTTCTATGTTATTTTGGGGGAGTAACGCAGCTGAGGCACGGCAATTCGCTCTGCCGCGCGAATCAGCTGAGAGGACATAGGTCAGTACAGCGCAGGGATGGGGTGGGACGATTTGATTGTCGGAGAGAACTGGTTCACTCAACAGCTGATCGTCGGCGCTAGATGTTCACCCGAACCAGTCCTAACCAGGAGAATCCCACTCCTGCTTCTGGAGAGTAATAGTTTGAGGAAAGCAGATATTCACTACAGTTCTTGTACAATCTAAGGCTAACGCTATTTTTGATGATAGAGGATCTCGGGAAGATCCAACCTGATTAACGTCTGTCTGTCTGTCTTGCAGTGAGGTACAATATGTAGTGCTTCAGAACGTGGCCACCATGTCCATCAAGCGTAGGGTAAGCACCTCTTTTCTTTTCCAGGTGGGAATTATTCACATGGCCCTACTACAAAACGTGGCTCCAGATTTTATGGAGGTTTGCCACATTCCACTTAATCAATATCAGCCAGAGCTTAATCCATTTGTCAGAGAGGGAGGGAGCAACTATAAATCCTGAGGAGAATCTTTTTTGACTTCTAAAAACCAAGAGAATCTTGTGTCCTCCTCTTCCTCCTCCTCCTCCTCCTCCTCCTCCTCCTCCTCCTCCTCCTCCTCTCTCCAGGGAATGTTTGAGCCCTACCTCAAAAGCTTCTACATCCGATCAACTGATCCCACCCAGATTAAGATCCTCAAGGTATATCAGATGCTCAGATATCCCAAAATATATCTGCTTCCAAATAATGCATTTTTTTCTTTACAATATAAAATACTACCAACTAAAGTAGAGATGAAAAAAGTGGAAGATTGACAATATTGTATGTTAATGAAGTTAATAATTATGAAAATTATATACGATACAAAGAACTAATGTGACTTGTTTACACTAATCCTAAATTTGGACCCCAGCTATGTTCATTAGTTCATTTGCTGAATGTTACATCTGAAACAGGCCACGTTGCTTATTGAACCTTGGCCTAAGGTCTTTTTGTGTCTTCTCAAAAACAGACTATATGTACTTAAGCCAAGGTTCAATAAGAGGTGCATAATCATATACCAGCTGCAAACCTAACAGTGAGATTTACTTCCAAGTTTATTATTTAGGGCAGGGGTCTTCAAACTTGACAGCTTTTAAGGCTTGTGGACTTCAACTCCCACAATTCCTCCTCCAGTCATGTTAGCTCAGGAATTCTGGGAGTTGAAGTCCAAAAGTCTTAAACTTGCCAAGTTTGAAGGCCCTTGATTTAGAGCAAAAATGAACGAAAAAGGAAAACGTATAGTTTTCTGGTTGACTGTGGGCCAATCAAAAGGAAAACATATAGTTACCCCAACACATAGTTGGCTGTTTTGTTCTTCTCTTTAGAGAACAGCTAGCAAATTCTCTTCCAATTTCTTCTATTACTTTGAATTTTGCTGTGCCCTAATACTGTAAATTGCCAATCTTTACTTGGCTCAGTTCTAATTATTGGCTTGCATTTCTGCACGCTCAAAGAAGCACTGATGTTAAAAGACAGTCAAACCTCACCCGTTCTGCTTTTTTCCCTCCCCCATCCTACCAGCTGGAAGTTTTGACCAACCTGGCTAACGAAACCAACATTTCTACAATTTTGCGGGAATTTCAGGTAATATATAGAAAATTGTAGCCCAGGGTAATTTTCTACCTCAGGGCATATAATATATATAATAATGAACTTTTCTATCCGAAGCACTTATTTCTTTTGGTTTTGATAAATTTTTGTTTTAAAAACCCCCATTTCTTCCTTCTCTTTCTGCAGACTTACATCCGGAGCATGGATAAAGACTTTGTGGCAGCCACAATCCAGGCCATTGGCCGTTGCGCCACTAACATTGGCCGAGTGAGAGACACGTGTCTTAACGGACTCGTTCAGTTGCTCTCCAACCGAGATGGTGAGATCTTGCTTTTAGAAATGAGCTAATGACTTGCAATAGTGTGGACGAATCATGGAACATACTTAGGGGTGTGTGTGTGTGTGTGTGTGTGTGTGTGTGTGTGTGTGTTCGATTATACTCCAAAGATGATGGTCAAAAAATGGATAGAACTGTGACGCAGGCAATATTTTTGATAGATTGATTGATTAAATTGAAATCTTCCTCCCAGCTCACGCCAATGAAACTCTGGATGGCATATATATATCAATATAGAAAAGAATTCAAGTGCAATTAGACTACAACAGCAATTAATAGACATCGGACATCACTGCTGTGCACTACGCCTTGTAATACCTCCTCCCTTCCCACCATCCTTCCCGCCAATTCCATTAAAAATGGCCCATTTTCCCTCACATGGAAATGGGAAGCTAGTGGCCCATTTTCAAAGGTGCTCTGGAGGTGGTGAAGTCTAGTTTTGGCTCTCAGACTGTGCACTGGATCCATGTAGATGATCCCCACTTAAACCAGAAACTAGAATCCTGTGCTGTTTCTGGGTTTCGTAGGTTAAGAAAGGGAGGCCAGGTATGTGACCCATCGTCATGTCCATGAGAGGAACTCTTGATGACTTTCAACTTGCCTGTTGATGACTTTCAACTTGCCTGTTGATGACTTTCTCAGATCTCCTAAGATCTTTATCTCATTAAGAGTTGAACTGTTCTGGTTTATGTCTGCCTTTGGATCTTCTCTGTCGTCTTACTTAGAACTGGTCGTGGCCGAGTCGGTGGTGGTCATTAAGAAGCTTCTACAGATGCAGCCATCTCAACACAGTGAGATCATCAAGCACATGGCGAAGCTGACAGATAACATCCAGGTTTGAAGAAGAGCTGAGGAAGAGGACTCTCCAGCCTCTACTTGGGTGGCATGTGACGGACCATGAAAAGATGACGAAGGGCCAGATATCACTTTCTTTTGTGTATAGGTTCCCATGGCCCGGGCCAGCATCTTATGGCTGATTGGTGAATACTGTGAACATGTGCCCAAGATTGCCCCAGATGTTCTGCGCAAGATGGCCAAGTCCTTCACCAGTGAGGAAGACATTGTGAAGCTGCAGGTTATCAACTTGGCAGCTAAACTTTATCTGACCAACTCTAAGCAGGTAAGGTCATTTCTAGAGATAACCAGGTAGTGTAGGTCTCTTGGCTGGTACCTAGAAGTTCTGCCATAGAGAAGTCAAGGAGATACATATCAAATGTCTCCTTTACTTTGGGTAAAACAGAACGTAGGTAGACATGTTTTATACTGGAACTATTCCATGTCTTAGGATGATAGTTAAATATTTCAAAAAGGGAACTATTAATACATAATAAGTTTGCCATCAAAGGTTCAAATATCAGGAAGTTTTGGGAAAAAGAAGTCCAGAAACTGTTGGAGAGGCCAGCTATGTTAACTCTAATAAGTAAAGAGTTGATTCACTCAATTTGAAAGTCCAGCTATGACTTAGATCCAATTCTAACCTTAAACACTTACATGTTTTAGTAGATGGAAAGAAGAAGAAAAAACATACAGAAACAGTTGTATTTTAACAAAGCCAGAGATCCTTGCAAGGCACGTATTTTTAAAAATAAAGCCAAAAGAATTCCAGATGGAAATTCTGGCTATTAAAAGCTGGAAGAAGCCAAGAAAATCCAGAGTCCAATTATATAAAATAATATTCCTTGCAATATTCAGAGCGATGTTTTATCTCCATGGAAGAGATTAACATGTTTTACAGCTGGAAGATCTAACTTGATTATATTGAATCATTTTAATGTTATGTATTGAATACATTTTGATTTTATTAATTTTAATTTTATTGATTATATGTATGCATGTAATTGAAATCTCCAGTATTTCTGGCCTTCGGTGTAAGACGTTGCCAGGAATTGTCCGCAAAGGGCCCAGCTAGTAATTCGAGACTAACCCATCACTTCCACCTTGTGGCACCTACAGAGCAAGCTGCTGACCCAGTATGTGCTGAATTTGGCCAAGTATGACCAGAACTATGACATTCGGGATCGTGCCCGTTTCATACGCCAGCTCATCGTGCCCACGGAGAAGAGCGGCGCCCTCAGCAAGTACGCCAAGAAGCTTTTCCTGGCACAAAAGCCTGCTCCCATTTTGGAGTCCTCATTCAAAGGTAAGGCATGGCAACAGACCAAAAGCACAGGAACCATTGAAGAACCGTGGTGGCGTATGGCCTTCAAAACGGCGGGGGTGGACTTTGCCAGTTGCTTCTCCCTTCCAGATCGCGACCACTTCCAGCTGGGCTCCCTTTCACATCTCCTCAATGCAAAAGCGGTGGGCTACCAGGAGCTTCCCGATTGGCCAAGCGAAGCCCCAGATCCATCTGTGCGCAACGTGGAGGTAGGACTAGCTCTTCTCTTTCTTGATGATGGGATGCGGGGACCCTTGGAGCTGGTTCTACTCCTTGATAGTCTGAAAACGTTGGGTGTCAACATGTCAATGATCCAATCTTTGACTTGTGCAAGAGTCATTTCTTGTTGTGGCAGATGAGGGCCACCGTACCTTCTTCAGGTTACTATGCTTGCATAATCCAGTGGTATGTATTGTTCTGTTTTTGATGAAAGGTTGGTTCCTACACCCCATGCTTATTTTTTTAGGAAAACTCCATTGATCCTAGAGGAAGCCACATTGGGCTACTGGGTGGACCCAAAGAGGTGGAGCTTGTTGTGTGCAGTGATAGTTTATGCTTTTCCATTCTCCTCCTCTTCCTCCTCCTCCTCTTCCAGCTTCTCTCCCTTGTGCTGTGCATCTCTTGACTGTGTGCTAGTTAGGATTTCAATCCTAAAGATTGAAAGTACGTTTTGATGGACTAAAAAAAAGGGTCCGGATTTAGCTTCTGGGTTTATTTTGAAAGCATGGTTGTAAAAGCTACAGGGCCTCTCTTAGTGAAGGCGTTCCACATTTCCATTCTCATAGCAAATCAGAGAGGGATGTCGATAGAAATTCTCCATCATCCAGGTCATGGTTGGCCCCATGGGGCTTTTCCAAAAGGCAACCGGGCTTTCCTTTGTTTTGTTTTTTTCCTTGAAGACGTTTTGCTTCTCATCCAAGAAGCTTCTTCAGTTCAGTGTCAGACTTCTGGGAGTTGAAGTCCACAGGTCTTAAAGTCACCAAGATTGGACATCTCTGATTTAAATTATGACACACACTTTATGTCACCCAAGGAAATGTTTCAATCGTGGTCAAAAATCTATCCCGGGCAGTTAAAACAACGGTCTTCCAACTTGCAACTTTAAGACACGTGGACTTCCACTCCCAGAGTTTTCCAGCCTGCATGGAATTCTGGGAGTTGAAGTCCACAAGTCTTAAAAGTTGCCAAGTTTGGAGAGCCCTGAGTTGAAAGAACTAGGCTAGGAGGTGATGGGAAGAGATTTGGGGTTTCTGAAGGGATGCTAGGGGGAGTAAAAATGTAGCAAGGGTGTGAGGAACCTGTAATGCTCCAGACAGAGGGTCTTGAAGTACAGTGTCCCAACATCCCAGCCAAGGGGGCCGTTGTGGGAATTGCTGTCCAGCAGCACCAGGAGAACTTCCAAGTTTTTCCTCCTCCAGAACAGGCCTGTTTTTCAGGTGCAATGAAATCTCATTTTATTGGACAGGGTGTGGGGGAAGCGGCCTCCAGGTCTTCACCAATGTCCATTCAAGGCAGGATGGATTGAATCACGTTCGTCACTGAGTTCTTGCAAGTCTTGTGGTGGAAATTTGGTCCGTTGCATGCCACGTCTTACCGTATTCACAGGCCACTAAGACTGAAAGGTCACTGAACCTGTGGCTGTTCACAGCTCCTGCCACGCAGCTATTAGTGCATGGCGATCATGCCGACCTGCAGAATAATGCAAATCTTCTCTGCCTCATCACTCAGATTCTCACCTTAGCTGACCCTCTTGAGGGTTGCATCCCATGAACATCTTCTAGACCCCTCCCCCTCCGATAAGGGCGCATGCCTCTTCCCTCTCGTGGCCTCATGGCGTACATGCACTACCAGCGGCAACCAAAGAGATGCCACGGAATGTTCCTCTCCTGCATGTTGATGCGTTTGGTTGTTTTGCACCAGGGTAACCTCTGTGCAGGGAATCAATCCATGGCCTCCAGCGTCCGAGTCTCGTTTTCTTTGCTCCTTTGTGTAGTAGGTTTATTTTAGACGTTGCCCAGCTCCGTCTTTGCAATGATGTTTCCTACGTCATGGCTCCATCCAGGTCCCCGAATGGACCAAATGCACCAGCCGTGAGAAGAGGAAGGAGAAGGTGGAGAAACCCTTCTATTCAGATTCAGAGGGAGAATCGGGAGCGACGGAATCGGCGGACAGTGGTGAGAATGGCGGAGGAGGAGGGCTTCAAGTGGAGCGCAAGCCGTCCTCCGTGTCCACTCGTAAAATATTTCTATGGTCTTTTTAGAACTGCCAACAGAAAGGGAGGGGAGGAGCAGTGCGGCAGCTTGGAAATTGAAAGCGCATTCCATAAATAGTGCTCAAAGATAGTAACTAGGTAACTGAAGTTTCTGCTGCGCAAAAATTCTAACTAGAGAAGATGATTGATGACTCTTGGCTATGGATGTGTCCCATTGGAGAATATGAATTATGATCCACCCGGGGGGGTGGAGGAAAACCAGGTCAAGGGTGACAATGAATTATGTGTCTCAGAGTCGGCTATACCCAGGCAGTGCCGGACATGTTAACTCCCAATAAATCCTTTTGAAGTTTTGGCTCGAGACTCATAATTGAATTGGGGTAACTTCTGGAATCCTGACACTCAGCTTATGATGACTGTTCACTTAGCAACTGTTTGAAGTACAAGTAGTCCTTGAGTTACGACCATAACTGCTGACTATCGGATGTTCAAATCCCACCAGGCTCAAGGTTGACTCAGCCTTCCATCCTTCCGAGGTGGGTAAAATGAGGACCCAGATTGTTGGGGGCAAGAGGCTGACTTTGTACACCAGTCAGAGAAGGCTGTAAGAAAGTTCTTGACTGCGCTGAAATGGACCTACTTACACAAAAACTTAAGAGATGAGGTAGACACAAAATATACTAGAGCTTGGGAAAAAAAGGAGAAAAAGCAGGAAATTAAAAGATTTGAAAAATGAAACGGTTAAACTAAGAGCACATACCAAAAATAGAAAATGAATATTAGTAAAATGGTTTTCAAGAAATGATCACGCCATCTTAGCTGATAAGGAATAAGTTTGATGTCGATATTTATATATTGCTTTCGTTTCTAACGAAACATGGTATTTTACACTGTATATATTTTTCTTTTTAATCTTTAATAAAGTTTACTTTAAAATTAAAAAATAAAAGAGGGAGCTGTCAAAGCACCGTGAAGTGGTATAGAAGTCTTAAGTTCTATGGCTGTTTACTAAATCGTTTTTTTTTCTAAATCCTGCCTTTATTATTTTAATCAATAATCCTCAAGGCGGAGAACATAGCTAACCTTAGATTCCTCCCCTCTCCTCTTTGGCTTGCAGACCCTGAGACCATGAGTGGCTCCGAAAGCGGAAGTGAGAGTGGATCGGGATCCGGCAGTGAAGAAGAGGATGAGGAAGAGAGCGAAGACCAATCAGAAGAGGAGGAGGAGGAAGAGGAAGAGGAAGAGAAGAAGAAAAAGAAGAAGAAGGGGGAAACTCCCCGGAAAGGTCTGCTGGAGAGCGCTGGCAGGTAGAGTCCCCGGGCGAGGCTGGCATTGAGTGCAGACAAACAGGGATAGTTTGGGAAGTCAACTCTGCTACTTGGGCTGGGCCACAAAGACAAAAATGCAGCCCACCCCCTTTTTTTAAAAAAAAAAGTGTGTTGCACAATACATAAAAAGGGATGAAGCTTCAATTACATGGTTGCAGCCACCATTTTGACTTTTTTGACCTCCTCTCTGCAGACACACTAGCTGGAGTTGATCAAAGGTCTGGAAACTAAAACATATGAAGAATGGCTGCAGGATTTGGGTCTGGCTAGTCTAGAGAAAAGAAGAATGAATAGAATAGAATAGAATAGAATAGAATAGAATAGAATAGAATAGAATAGAATAGAATAGAATAGAATAGAATAGAATA